CTCACACCCGTTGGTCAACACGTAGTACGTAACGAACCCATTTCTACAACACACTCGGAAAAATAAAACCAGAAAATAATATTACACTATTCCATTGGACAAAACGATATTTTTTTAGTCTCAACACGTAAGCGGCAAAAATTAGTCATAATAATTCAGGCAACACGGTATTGAAGACTTATACCTACTAGGTACCTTCAGACAACTGATGTGATCGTGCGTTATCGTTCGTTGAGCGAATCGCATTTCCATGTGTTTCCGCCAAACTCACGAACAATGCGCACACGTGGAAATCCTCGTCGATCACGCACGGACACTGCACACGCATAATATTGAGCACTTACGTATTTAAACGATAATCATGGCTAACTATCTCTACGACGCACGTGCATCCCCGAACCCTTCGACAGCCGAGGTTTATTGGGCTAATATTCTCCATTCATGGCCTGGCGAACACGAGTCTCGTCGAATTGGGTGATGAGTGAAAAATAGTTAAAAATTTTTTGTTTTGTAAAAAAAAATGTATATCCCTAGTTTGTCTGACGCGTCGATAAATCGTAAACGTATTACGAAAAATGCAATATTACAAATTTCGATTTATTCCATAAAATCTAGAGAAAATTATTATTTTTTTATAAGTATTTCAATTGTCTTTAAATCATGAAAATCAGTTTCGACTGTGGTCTTTTAAAACATTGTTCAACTTTTTTCTTAATATAATGCCCGTATAGGCCAATGGAATAGATGAAAATTGTGCTTCAAGTATTAAACTCTAATGTCTTGATGTCATAGTACTAAAAAGTAAAAGAACATTTAAACACCTTGAAACTAAATCACTGTCAAGAATTATTTTGAAATTTTTATTTCAATCATTATATTATTTTAGAAATTATACCATAATTTTATTATGGATTTTTTTTTCAAACTTTCAGTTCGAATGGAAAATATTCTGTACAGAACCGTTCCTAAGAGATAATCCCAACACCTCTTGGATCTAAAGTCCACGCGTGCTTATGATATTAATATAACGTTTGTGAACATTCTGTAAGTATCATTATGGAGTACGAACACAAAAGTTTTTTTCAAAAAAATTGTATCGATCACTGTGTTGTGAAAAACAAATCATAATAATAATAATACAACGCAATAAGCGTACAATTGCTAGTCTTTATTAACTCATCGTATACATAATAATATGTGTGCAGGTTATTCGAATGTCATCCTACCGACGTGACAAAAATGAATATTAAATATTAAAATAAATATTATAAGAAAACAATTTATTAATGTGTAATAAATACATGCGTAACTTATTGTAACAATAATTGTGTGTGAATATATATTATATATTTCGTGGAGTATTGCGCTATCGATAATTATCTATTGTATTCTTGGCAATAATTAATTACATTTAACTATTTTATTTATAAATAGTGATTATACATAAATATAGTATAACGTGATGGACAACTCGAACAAATAATTTAATAATACTATTTTTCATGTAAGTGTGCTCAAGCAACGCAATTGTTAGCCTATTAAGTATACAGTTCTCACGCAGAGTGATCCACCGGATTAAGTATTATTATTTTTGCGCGTCTTAAGTGATTAAAACAATAATGTCGTTTTTTTTCATTTCTTTTGTTTTGTTCATGTCGTTACCGTAAATTTGCAAAATCCGTCTTTAATCGGCTGACCGCCATACTTCATCGTCAATGTGTAGTCTCCGGGCTCGTTCACCAAATAGCTGACAGCGTACGTCCCGTCATTTCTTGGCACGACTTTGACGTTTTCCAAATAGCTGAAATAACACGTGACACGTCGTTATAGGAGACGTTTCTTCCGCAGATTTTTCAAACACAGCGAGAGAAAGACTAGGAGACCCCGAAGATCGCCTAGGATATTTGTTTGTTGCAGCAGAGAAAATCATAACTCGATCACTTTTTGGATTCTGAGTGAAGCCATTTAGTTTCAACTTTAAATTGACATAAATCGTCCCGTAGTCCAAACCAGACATGAAGGGAGTATTTGAAAACGGGTCGGTTAGCGACTGTCACGATTGTTTTTCCGATATTAACAAAAAACCGAATATGAGTGATTTGAAAATAAGCGTAAAACTCGTACTAGAAAACGTATTTACGTGATATTTATGAGTATTATAAAATATAAGAAAATAAGACATTCAAATTATATATAATATAGCTGCACTGATCTTCGTTTGGAGCCATTTTTTATTTTTTTACATTCGGCTGATTATAAAATTTGAAATGAATGCTGAAGAACAATAACCAAATACGGAACTTACAGCATTTGCATAGTTTTACTATCGATTATAAAATATAGTAGTGTACGAATTAAATTAATTTCTCGATACCATGAATTAAAATCTAAAATTTGAATGTGCATATTTTTATTTATTTTTCAGATTTTACAGGGAAGTGCTTATTTGTTCCTTTTCTGTGCTTATTTTGTATATTTTGATAAATGATTTAAATTTAAAAACTAAAAATTACACAAATTTCATCGTATCAAAATAATAAAATATTAATGCAATCATATGTACTCGTATATATCATTATCATATATGTGTATCATATGTACCATTTTCGATATATAACTCACAAATTGATATAATTTTAGAGTTGGAAAAATAACATTTGTTGTCGACCGATGTAATATAAAACATTCATGTGAAACTAAAGGATTCCCGACAAACAGTTCGAACCACTGGAGGTAGATAATAGTAAAGTTATTTAATAATTTCGAATAAAATTAAAAAAAACTGGGATAGTTCCTATTTCAAGAAATTTAATAATTTTTAAACAAGTTTATACTTATTTGTTATTTTAAACTTTTTATGTAGCTAATACTAATTGATTATTATAAATAATAAATATAATTTTAGATTTTGATGCATATTTTACCATTTTTTAGTGGATATTTTAAAACTCATTATTGTGTTTTAAAGTTATAAGTGCTTTAAGTCTCGAACTCTGGTAATAACGCGCGAAAAAAGTCTAACCCTCAGGGCTCATAGTATCTTTATTATGTTTTTTTTTTTTTTTTTTGATTTTTACGAATTAATTATTTTATCGCTATTTTAAATTATTTGATTATTAATTTATTTTGAATTAATTTATTAACCCGACAGACGTCGACAGAACCTAAGCTTCTTCCAAACAGTTCACACACGCCCCTAGATCCGATACTAGGATGAGTCAGGTCACACTTACAGCCCGTCCACTGGTCTGATCCGGCACGTCACGTTCCCCTCGCCGCAGTTTCTGGCGTTCACAATGACAGTTTGGATCTTACCCATCACGATTCGGTTATTCACGTTGCCCATGATGCGACAATTTTCCGCCTTCGCGTGTGATTATGGAAAAAAAAACCATTTACAGCGCTCGTTGTAATATCTGTGTTGCGTGGTTGTAATCGCAAATAGTATAAATTACATTATCAAAACGCGTTATGTCAATCAGCAACAAAAACTGCACTCAGTTCAACTTCGATGGATTAATGACGTTTTTATATGTTTGTGTTTTTACTACAATATGACTACATTATTCTACTGGCACAGTGCTAATTTTTTAACATCGATACTGTGACACGAGGCTTTCAACAATACAGCACTCGAATCATAACGTTAACAATAATACCACACGAAAGCGTCGTCTGCAAACGAAAAACCGTTTAGTAGGAAAAACTGCATTAATTATAAGCAAAATTAAGCGTATTATCATCATTTCGAAACAAACGTGTCCGCTGCGCAACAATTATGGTATATGATCAGGTGCGTGTTTCGACGAAAACGTATACGTTATAAATGTTATTTAATTAATGCGTCGTTTTCTCACCATCTTTTAGTAGTACAGGTATATTTATTATACGCTTAGGTTATAAGATTTTTTGCTGGCTCAGTTCTATTTGTATTCAGGTTTTTTGAATATTTCTTTCAGATGATCAGTCAATACATTATAACCTTCCAGTACCGTATTCAAGTATTACGTACGTCAGCCAGGCGTATGTACAATAGTTATATTTATCATAGAATACGTATTTTTGAATTACACTTTTTATTTAAAACTTCGGGTAAACTATACGAAGTATAGTCGCATTGCAATTTTCAACCAATGAGGATTTTCACATTGTACTGCTTGTTTTGTAGTAAAACTCATCTCGATGTCGAAATTAATAAAATAGATCATGTCGAAAATTTGTTTTGCTCGTATATATAATACATTAGTTAAAAGCATGTGCGCGTTTGTTATGCGTTTGTAACGCTTGAGGGTATTATAGGTATAATATCACTCATAAAAACATGTTAAATAATATTCAGATTCTAAGCTGAATTTCAACGGAGACAAAGGTGGATCACTCACTCATACAACAATGCATAAACTACAAAATCGCAATTATCACAAATATAATTATCAGCTTTTTTTTTATTTTTCATTCCTTATACATATCTATCAATTCGCATTGTAATACTTTGTTGAAAATTCTTAGCACGTGATTAAAATAATAACAAATCAAATAGTTAGTAAAAAAACAGCGTGTTACAAAAATAAAGCACACCGGTTAGCAGTGATGTATTCACGTGAGGAGGTCTGCTAGTTGAATAATGTTGTTTGAATTTTTTTTTTATATTATTTTGTTAACCAGATTTTAAACATTTTTAGCTAAATTATTTTTAGATATTTCAGTTGTTTAATTGTAATATTATTAACTCAGTTTTTAAACTAGGTAAAAAAAAAAAAAACTAAAAACGAATGAAAACTGTCTATAAATATATATAATATCAAATGCATTGATTGTGAGATCGCAGTAGTAGTTTGAACGGAGATAGTTCGTTTTGTTTTAAAGTTACACCTCCCACCATGAAATAATCCTGAACACGTCACTGCAGGTGTATAGTTATTACTTAGTTAAACGCGTTAATAGTAAAATTTATAATAAAAGAATTCTACACAATAGTCATGTAACATCAGTGAACTTACATTTCCGGTGGAGAATGATTGCACGTAAATCGGCGACTGCGGTAGTTCTTTGCCATCGTATAACGCATCGATTGTATACCTGCCACAATCATCTGGAGTATATTTTATTTTATACAGATTCGGTTCGTTTTTTTCGATTTCCACCGGTCTCGGATAGCCGTCCGGTCCCTATACGATTTATAGGCAGTTATTAGTTGATAACTTTCATAAGATAACTCAGCGAGAGTTTTCTTGCACTTCATACTCACCATAATTCTCAAGTCCAACTTTCCAGAACCCGCATCAGTAGCGTCTACAACGAAATACGTGGGAACCGAAGCTTTAACTCCGCGTGAGTCTGACACGCCGGGCCCTTCGATCTTTATTTTATCCAATTCAAATTTCGGCCTAACTTTGAGTTTGAACGGGCTGTAAAAGTAATTATTATATTCAATACGACATAATTTAACAATGATATTAACCATATTTTAGGCTTGATATGAAAATTAAAAAATAAATAGGGTTTCAAATTTTAGGTTAGTTTAATTCAATGTCACAGACTTTCTACAATGCTGAAATTAAAATGGACTATATGTATGGAATACAATTTATTATCCATTGGACTAAATAAAAAATCGAATTATATAGGGCATTGAAAAAACTAACTTTTAAGAAAAATGTTACACATAGAACCTTATGTTCTGTTAAAAATAAATGTACATTCGAGCCTTTACAAAATTTTTTTTTATGGAATCATGAATCATGAAATCATTTATATAGTTATGCATAAAAAAAAATATATATATATATAATAAAAAAATTAAATAGACAGTAATATTTCTAATTAAATGTAAGTACATTTGTATATGCTTACATTTCACAATATATCTACTGTATATTGACGCAATATATCTAACCTATTATTATTTATTACTCTACAATATTATTATTGTATAAATAATTATACTACGTTCTTAGTAAACGTATTACATATATTATTCGCACATATTTTGTTTAATAAAAACGAACTTTTGAGTGAAAAAATAAGTATTTCTTTCAATGCAATTTATATTTAACGAATCTTTTTTCGAAGAACCGACGAGATCGTTAAATAAAGGTTCGACTGTGTAGGGTAAAGTATAGTTATTGGCACCCTTTAGAAAAGTTTATATTTGTTTCTATGATATTTTACACTTAAACATTGTTGAAATTTGTATTATTATTTTCAATAATGAAGCAAATTGTTACCTTTAATCTTACCTTATGATCATTATCTTATATAAATATTAAATATTTTTTTTTATTTACCATCAAGTATAAAATAATCGAAAATTATTGTTATTGGCACCTAAAATTGTGTTATTGGTTTTATAATTTCTATTATTAACATCCGCTTAAAATATATATGTAATTTAATAGTTTTACTGATTCATTTGGTTATATTAATAAATAAAATAAATAAATAAGCATCAAACCTAGTTTAAATTACACATAGGTAATTGTAGAAAAGTTATACATATTTAGTTTGTGATTCTTAATAAAATAACTAATGAACTAATGAATTGTGTTGTAAAGATATTTTATAACTTATTATTTAACTACCTATATGCTTCACGCAGGTAATTCATTCTAAATATCATAACATTTTATTTAATCATAATATGTAGTACTGTATTGTGGTTAGGAGTCAAATAGATAGCTATTATAAAAATTAAAATGAGTACATCTAGCAGAAATAATAATTATGCTAAACAACTATAATAGGCAGGTACCTATTATAATGTAGGTACATAAAAATTTAGTTAAATTATTTTATTATAATATGAAGAAATAATAAAATATATTTCAATGTTTTAAATATTTATTTAGTTATAATTAAAACAGTCTTATGTTTTCACTCTTTTAAGTCTCAACATATAAAATACAGATACGGATACAGGAGCTGTTCCACATAAAACTTTTTGGTCGGGATTTTAAAGTCTGTATTGTAATATAGATCTTGATACAGAAAAATTGCTGCAGATTTTTTTGATATGCCTTCATTGACTACTGCTTCAACAGCAACAGTCAAATTGGACTGAGAAAAATTTTTTTTTTTTTTTTTTTTTTTTTTTTTTTTGGCATTTCTATAAATAACAGTTAAATTTTACTCAGGTTCTACACTTTTTAAAACAAGGGCCAATAAATAAATTTATACATTTTATGTGAATTTCAATAATTAGTACCCTATGCCAATAACAAAAATTTCAAATATGTACATATCAGTTATTAACATACTAATTTTTGACAAAAATAATAAAAATAAATTATTGAATATTGGATTAAATGATGAAAAATGTTCTTAAGAACTAAAATATAAATTATGCTAGTACTTAGAGTAGTCATAACTAAATTAAGAACTTATTTTCTAAGTATAATCTACAAATAAAAACAGTAAATTTTTATCAAATATTTAAAATTTCTGAGACGACTGAAAACTTTAATAATAACTAAATTATCGATAAATTATTATTATCGGGAACACTCGATAACACAACATGATCAGTTTGGACAAATATATATGAAAAAAAAATCATTTAAGAGTCAAAATGCTCACTAATTACAAATAAAAAACTTTCATAGTGCCAATAACTATACTAGTGCCAATAGCTGTACACTTTACCCTATTTAGTTTAAATATCTTTACAATTAAATTTTAATTAATTCGTATAAGTCTATAATATAGAACTATTTTGCTTTTAACAATTTTTAAAACGTATTTTTAAAATCAAAATAGTTTAAACTAACTTAAGAATTTCTCAATACATTTTTAATTATAATTATGAACTTCTATATATTTATGTATAAATTATAATAAACTTAAACTATTTTTTTTTTAACAATTTTAAGATCAAATGGTGCACAAATTGTTCAGTGTTTTTTATTAGATTAAGCACAGAAATATGGTCGACACAGAATATACGGTTAGACCGTAACTATTATAATGATTGTTATAATAAAATGGCGAATAGTGTAATAATATAAGAAAATCGAACAGTTATAATTAGAAATTTAACGGTTTACACAATGATTATAAACAAAAATGATTTACAGTAAATGCATATACATAGGTTTAAAATGATCACAGTCAATCACATTCTGAATCACTACCCTGAGTCGTTGTATTTTTTCGTAAAAAATTGTTATTATATTTAATTATTATTCATACGCTGCAGTAACTTTGGATTTATTGTTTCTTTCGGTCTATTATTGTACGATTGGTGGACCATTCAATATCATTCGTACCTGAATCCCTGTTAATATACTAGATCGATCTATTGATTTCCTTCTGCATAGTTTAGACGACAGGGATGAAATAAAATACATTCAAATATACACCGAAAATGTTCACGCAGCATATACTAGTTTAAATTATTTTGTTAGTAATAGCTCACCTGTTTGGCACTGGTTGTCCATTGTACAATACATTGGCTGTAAGAAGAGCGCCTTCTGGATTAGGAGTGTAAGTGACGTCGTACGTACCGTCTTCGTTGTCACGGATAATCGGTTTCTGTTGTATCGGTCCTATAATGAATTGATTATTTTAATTTAATAAGAATTGTTAACATATTGCATAAATATTACGTCTTAATTATACGATTAAGTGACGCGTGTAACACGTCATAAAATGAACAGAACAATATAAAAATATACGAAATGTTGAGAAGAAATTGTTAAGCATCCAACGACAATCGGTATATTACAATCACCAATAATAGTCAATCACATTTTATAAATTATTAGTACAAAAATCGCCTTCATATTAAGAGCAAAAAATATTAATAAGTTGTAATATTAATTAATAGTTAACTTTATTAATTTTATTGTATATTTTATGCCATTTTTCTTACTTTTTAACATTTGATATTTATACATATACTGTAAATCTTTTGCAAACTATAATGCTGTATTCATTACCGCTTGGGGTGTGATAATATTAAATAAAATAATAAATAATGCCAAGACGTAAAAAAAAAATTAACATTAATTTCTGACTCTTGTTCATGTTGACTGAACTAAAACTGTATGAATCAGGAGCGAAATGTTTGTAAACGATATTTGAATAAATCACGGTGACCATATTATTTTAAACACCTACATTTTGTGCATGGTTTGTATTTTTGAAATTCTTAACAGTCTAACACGGCAGTACAATGTTTCCAGATAGTCTATTCATACGTGTTCAATACAATTCAATGCACCAATGCTCGCTACGTTCATCAATCGTACACTTCTATTACCTCTGTCGGTCGACATTTTGACGTCTAAATTGCCTTTGGCAGACTGGGTAGCGTCCACTTTAAACGTTATTGGTGTGTTGGCTCTGCAATACTTTGGGTTGATACCAGGGCCGCTCACTTTGATATTGTCCGCAGTAGCTGGGCGATCGACTACCACCTGTATACGTATTCCGATTAATAATCGTTTGACGAGTAAATATAATTTTCAATAAACTAATAATAATTGATTATATATCAACCAGGCAGTAAGCTGGCAAATGTGTAAATAAAATTGTCACCCGAACCACAGTGTACCTTAAATGGTGATCCGGGAATATGTTTTTCTGCAAATTGAATGCTCACGTCGTACTCGCCGGATTCCGTAGGCGTGTACTCGACGGAACACGAACCGTCGCGGTTGTCTTTGCACGTCATCTTCGCCTCCGACGGTCCTTCGATAGCTAAACCTAAGCTCCCGGTTCCGGCACCTGAAATTATGAAATAATTATTTGTTTTTAAAAAATGTATTCAATAATCTCAAAGTGATTTCGCACCGGATCATTACGATACACCACCCAGCGAACTACCGTTTCACTTAGATGATACATTAGTGTGCATGCGTGTCTCACGTTACCTTTCGTTTCCACGGTGAACACGTTTAGCTTGTTGATAATGCCTTTGTTCAAACCCGGACCGAATGCTCTGCACTTGCTCGCGTCTGTTCCTCGTTTGACGTTTACGGAGAACGGTGAGCCGACAATCGATACGCCGTCGTAGTAAATATCAATAGTGTGCGGTCCTGAAAAAATACAGATATTTACTATCGCATAACATACTAGTACGTATAGCATCGATCGGAGAACAGATTAGCGGTATACCCGCGGCAAATCGATTATTCATCGTTTGAAAACGATAGTGAAAACGATAGCGTCATGTACGAAAACAATGTTAAAAATGTTGAAATTTTTCGAACGGTCGTACGCTATCGCTGTCAATCGCGATGATATTATACTATATTATTGTTACCTTCTTCGAATGGGGTATAGCTTATTTTGAACGTGCCATCGCTTTGAGGCGTTATAAAGGTCTCTGTTCGGCTACCAGTCGGATTGGTCACTGTGCACGTGATCACCCCTTGGCCGTACTTGGCAACGGCTCGCGAATCCACGACGAAGTCGGTCGGCGAGTTTAAGAAAACACCTGGATGGAGGGTAAAAAAAAAAGAGAAATCGTTATTAGTGCTGGTGTCCCGGTAACGGTAATATAAACGATTATAAATTAATGGTTAGGTAATTACAGCGATATAACGTAAGACGGTTAAGTACTACGGGGTTTAATGCAAAACGCAAAGCCAGTTGACAGCGGTATGCTTAAGACGCTTCGCAAAGCGAACATATTTTATACAAAGAGTGGTATAACGTGCTACGAGAAAAAAATTATATCGAATAGATTTGTTTTGACCCGTTCGAAGGTTCTTTCTAAAAATAGAACAAATACAATTTGTAATAACAAGTTTCGTGCATAGTAATATACTATACGGTGTACTCTATGCAATCACATCGCTGTCGGCTAGCTACTGAACAGTATCATCTATTCATAAGGGTGTACCCACAACGGTATCAATGATTAAATCGCTGAGCTTCGAAAACGTGTAACACCAATAAATACTGCATGCAGGCGTTAAAAATATTAAAATTAATGGATGAGACGTCCGTCCGTCCGAACTACTTAATTTTCAATAGTTCAATGCGTAACGCTAGTAAAAATACGACCGATGACGATAGCTGTACGGAAGTGACAAATTACGTGTCCCGAACCGGACGTTCCGCGAGCGGAACGGTTTGTTGTCAACATGTCGTCCACGGTCTTCGTGGACTGACCCCACGACCGCTAACACTGTTGAAGACGCGATTTTCGGTGGTTCGCGCTCGTGTCGACCGGTCAACGTGAAAATTCATGAGACCATCGATCTGAACCAGTGGCGCAACCAGGGGGGTGGACTCCGGGTCTGGACTCCCCCTTGGTACGTATAATAGTATATTAATATCATATTCTAGATATATTCTATATATTACAATTTTTTATTATTTGTATATTAGTTTATTTTGTCAGACCCCCCCCCCCCATGAAAAATTCCTGATTGCGCTACTGATCTGAACCTCCTCCATCGGTTCAGCGTTGCACAACGTTTGGGCGCGGTCGCAAGATGGGCCGATGACGGACGAACGAATCGTATCGTCTGACCGCACGCGTTGACGTATACTGTCCACCGAACTCATCTGATGAGTTTCGCGTTTTACGTTAATCGTAAGGCTCAATACTATGTACGCTGTTCATATATATATATATATATATATATATATATATATATATATATATATATACGTGTGAACTGATCCATAAGCGCAGGCGACGACGGTTAGATCACTCATCACGGCACTTTCGTCCGACGACGAAAACGTTTCTCGCTGACGTCCATCGTCACAACATTCGACGATCCCGTGCACGCGGTCGCCCCCACCGCTGCGGGACGTCTCGATTGCGATCTGTTAGTAGACGAAATCGAAACGAGCGAACTCCCAGGCGGAGCGGAGAAGTAAATAATTAGTGGAGAGGAGAAAAACGCACACGGCACAAAAACACACACGAAAAACCGAAACGAAAACACACGCGCAACAGCTTGTCAGTTGGCGGAGGAGGCGGTGTCCGCGTTGAGTACCGTTGGCCTGTAGACCGTTGCCGGACGCCTTGACGTTGGACGATCTGGCACCGTCGGCGATCCCGATGAGTGCATTGAACGGCGAACCGGGGATCGGACGGTCGTTGAACGTGATGTTGATGACGTAGTCGCCGGCCTCCTTGGGCATGTACGCGACCGAACATGTGCCGTCACCGTTGTCGCGGCAGTTAATGGCCGCCTCGCACGGGCCCTCGACGGTCACGCCCAGGCCGCCCTGGCCCGCCTTCTTCGTGTCGATCGTGAACTCGGCCGGCCGGTTGACTGAGCCGCCGGATAGGCCGGGCCCGCGCACCGTCACCTTACTCGGGTCGCTGGCCTGCGTGCACGTCATCCGGAACGGGCCGCCGCCGGGCCGGTTCACCGTCTGGCCGCCCAGCGTCACGCTTAGCCGGTACTCGCCCAGCTCGGTGGGCGTGAAGTTCACCACGTAGCCATCGGCCACGGGCACCACTTGCGCGGCCACCGAGCCACCCGACGGCCCGGTGATGACCACCGCGAACTCCGCACGTCCGGCGTCCCGCGTCATCACCCGAAACTGCTGCAGGCTGTTGACCGGCGCCACTGCGGTGTAACGGTACCACAAATACATTCTCTTAGGCTGCGTGTCAGATGTGCAGACGGGTGGAGCGGGTCAACGATGTCGCGAGTCGGTAAAGGCGGATGAGGTGCCCGGTACCGGTTACGGTTCCGTGCGATCGCCGATACGAGAATTCCGAATCGGCCGTCGGCGACAATCGTTACTTTTCGCGAAATCAGCGGAATATCGTTAACCGCGACCGGCACCGGCCTACGGGATTGTCGCGGTTGTCGAGAGCAACCGGGCATGCACACGCACGGTAGCTAGGACGAAATGCAAACGGGATGGTTGTCCCCCCCCCCCCCCGAATATTGTTTAAACGTCTACTACTACTGCTAGTGGCGTATCCAGGATTAATTTAATGGGGGTGTTTTAAAATTTAATAGACTTATGGTAAGTGGAGGGCTCTGTCCTCCCCCCGTATTACATTAATAAATACCACGTACTAATATAAATTACTATATTAATGAAAATGATTATATTAAGACAGTAAAATCTGCATGTTGTATACAACGTTTATTCAAATTATGCTGCAAGTAAGTTTGCAATTTGGTGAAATACCATAAAATACGATCAATGCACCCCCCTCAGTCCTAAATACGTCCTTGACATTTGCCATGTATTTAACCGGGTTTTCGTAAACTATTGGACGGTTGGGTTGGATACGTTCCCGGTGTAAATCCTAGTCGTTTGAATATTTGGAAACGAGAAACAGAGGCAAATCCGTTTTGATGTTAATACGGTTTTCGATCAATGTTTGTGTTCACACGTAGATTATATTAGGTAATGAAAAAAAGGCCGACGAAAGATCCCGCCTTATGACACGTAGGAAAATGTGTTTGCACCGCGTTAAAACACTGTTAAGTCATGCTCGCCCGTGACTTGATTCTGTTGGGTTGTCGTAGCGTTAGTTAAGTGTTTTCGTTTACCGGGAAACGATCAAAAAACCACTACGTGCATATTCCTGGCCCTTTTCGAACTTCACGTTTAAATACAAAACAAATCTTTCAACATTTATAAGAATTTATTTTTTATTTTATTTTCATTTTGCCCATTTTCTCACTTAATTGAAAATTTTTGTAGTTGACAATTACTATTAGAGTCAATATGTTTTTCCAGAACATTCGCATATAAAGCACTATGATAAAAGGGGATCAGTAAACTTTCCCGATATTCAATTGTCCGACATAATTTATCCGACAGTACATTTGCCTGAGATATAATAGTTATATTTATGTCAAATATTATTCAATAAAATATTATATTATTTACTATTTAAGTTGTATTAAAAATTAATATTTTAGGTGATAATAAAATTTGTCTCAACAATTAATAATAATAAAAAAAGAATGAATTAAAATATAACACTACTTATAATTTAATGTTATGAGCGATTTCCCCTTAGGAATAATAAATTTGAATGATTTTCCCTATCATTTATAATTGTACTAATACTTTTTTTTTCGTTCAGCGTATTCTCTGCGATTATGTGCCCTTCCACGAATTATATCTTCAACTCTCCGTTCCATTTTAATTTGCTATTTTTTAGTTTCTTCGATGATTGTATAAAATATTCATCTAGTTTTTATTTTTTATTTCAATTATTGTATATTAATACTATGCATTAATAAATAATAATAATAAAATATTGTATATTAGTAGAGAGCGGATCTTTAGGTTTTTTTTCATATTTTTGAATACACCTATTCAATTATTGTTCATAAAAAAGCATATTTTATTAATTTCTCGAGTTATAATTTTTTTAGGAAAAAAAAATTTGATTGTTATATTTATATACCTATATATGGATCTATTATCTATTTTTTCCATTTAAATAATTTATCTTTTACCAAGTAATGGTGCATACAAGTTGTTCACTATTTTTATTTAACTATTTTGTTTTTTTATACATAATTTTATTATATTTATACTCCTACGTATGAACTGTTTTAAATTTTTATATTTAAATAATTTACCTGTTACCAAAGGAATGACCCATAATAGTAATTTATTATTTTTATTAAACTATTTAAGAAAGAAAAATCATATTATCGAATATTTATAAGTTTAAGGAATATTTAGAGATTGTATTAGGGTTTTTTTAGAACACATTAGCATCATATTTTAAGCTTTAAGAATCTAAAAATTCGCTCTTTTTATATTAGTACTATGCACAGTAAAAATATGTAAGATATAGTGTCGGGAAAATTAAGTCGGCAAACGGTGTCAGCCAATTGAGATGTCGGACATTCGAGTGTCTGACAAACATACCAGACCCTGCTAAAATATATAGCCTATAACTATTAAAGATGTAAATACGATTATACGCGTGAAGTTTTTAAATTCGTCCACGCCGATTTCCATAGTACTATTATAACCTTGCCGGACACGAACATGACTCTCGTAATAGTGTAAACAATACAGTAGCAATAGTGATCATATTGGCATTTCTGCCGGATAAACTTACGCGTTTCGAGACCGTCAACTTTGACTTTGGTCAGGTCCACCGGTGACTGTACATTAATCTTGATCGGGCTCTGGGGCACCTTAACGCCTCCGTAGGTACAATTCAAATTGTGCACGCCCGGGACGGTCGGCACGTAGTCTATGAGGAATGAACCATCTTCGTTGTCGTTGACTTGCAGTGGCACGTTCACTCCTTTCTCATTGACAAGGTTCACGTTCAACTCGCCTAAATCATACCAATGGGTTATAGACGTGTAACACGTATACAACATTGATTTGCTTTCAATAAAGCACACGTTGGTGTTCCGGACCGTAAAACAATATTCAAACGGTGAAAACATTATTTGCTCGAACAGTGTGAGAAAATTAGAAAAAATGACGTGTAGAAATCGATCGGTTGAAATAATTCCGATAAATGTACTGCACAGCACGTGTCTGTCGAAGAGCCCTCTTGAAAATTATAATAATATCACGTTCTAATGATAAATAGTAATTCACTATGGTTATAATACATAGGTTTTCTTATAAAATAGTAATAATGCTTTGATAAAAATGTATCGATTTCTCACAAATATGATAACAGTTACGAAGATTTCGATGTCCAATTATATTAAAAAGGGCAAACTTTAATTTTTTTTTCAAAGGGTTTACATTTTAAAGTACGGTTAAAGTAGTACGTAGGGTAATAGAAATTAAAATACAAAAATGTTCATTTCAAATTTTTCTTTTTTTAGTCACCATAATATTTGGATTTACTTGTAAAATGAAACTATTACAAACGCAGTCACACGTACGGGCGTAATCACGGTGTAATACTAATTGCTACAAACGCAAAGTAACTATGATCATAGATTAAATATATTAGATATATATTTATTAAATACATAGATTAATTATATTTCAAATTTTAATTTTTTAAGTATATTTAATTTATCCTATGACTGAGTAGTGCAGCCATCATTATCCTCGACTCCGATTAGATAATAATAACAATTTTATAGATTAAACTGACTATATAACTATATAGAATAAACATCAACTATTAACGATTAGATTAGATTTTATTTATAAAGAAAAAAGAATTGAATAGTATTGAAAATTGTATGAAAAATTTTATTGAACAAAAATAAAACACAAAAATTAACCACCTTTGTGCTGGCCATAAAAAATTGCTTCGCAGGCTGCGGGTTGCCGACCCTTGGTGTAAGGCACCTATACTTTCAATATTAAAGTAGTACCTAATAATTTATTTTTCTTATGAATTTAATGGCTTTACTTAAAACGTATTAAATAATAGTTATGGTTGATTTCAATATTGATAGAATATTATCGTCTTATTTTTATGACAATTAACTTTTCAACATTTTTAACAAATAGTATTGATGTTTAGGTAAAACTTTAAATGTCTCCTGAAAGTAATTTATAAAAATACATTATTGCAATAAATCTTTAATTTAAGAAAAGTTAAACAAACATGAAATGTATTTCAACTAACGACTTTAGTTGTCACGGAAGTGTTTCCTTATAACACTACAATAAATAATAATACGTAATAATGAGCTGCAGGTCATAAATTATTTCTAAAAATAGATTTTTTAGCGGGACGATTTTAAAATGGGCTGGTGTTCGTGGGTAGCTGACCTTGATGTACATACAGTGAGTTATGCGTTGATCAAAATGTTTTATTTCAAATGAGTCGTCATATTATTTTTAAACATTTTACTTTTCCATGACTACTATAAGTACCTACATAATATTCTGATATTTAACGGTACCAGTTTTGATAAAATAACTCAAATCACAAATAGTATTTGGTTTCACAACTCTCTATAATATAATGCTAACTCCAATGTTTAAATATAATAAAAATTATCATAATTTTTAGTTTCAACATTCAACTTATTTTATATAATCATCAAGAAATCTTCAATTAAATACAATGCAATTTCTATTCTTCTCTCATTTTCTTTCTAGAATTACACCATTTGGTTAAATTTCTTAGTGCTAATTTTTTTTTTTTTTGTTTATGAAATTTTTTTGAAATAATTTTTAAACCTAATTGTAATATAAAAAAATTTTAATTTTGTGGTAGAAAGCAATAATCCCATAAACCAGATTCTTTACGACATCCCAATAATAAAAACTTTACATCAAAAATATTTTGTAAGCATTTTACTTCTTTTATAATTTTTGATAAATTAACTGTAGCATATGCAATTTTATTTTTATTGACATTTTTGAAAATATAATAATGTTTATAGATTCTTAGCGATATCCTTACAACAAGAAGCATATATAATTATGTAATTGAATACAATTTTTTTATTTTTTTTTTTTTTATAATTTTTGATGGACGTAAGATATATATTATTTAAATAATAAAAATTCGTGTAACTAGTTAATGCGTTTTTGAATAAATTTGATTTTTTTATAAGTAATATTATAAAGTTTCTAGATTATATCCTAAGAATAAAAATTACTCAATTATGAGTTTAGCTATAGCTATTGATATATGAATTCTAAAAGTACAATATTCAAATAATAAAATATGAATTATTACATTTGAATTTTCCTTATAACCTAACAAATAAATATTTACTTTCAAGCTTGGTCCGTACTCACATAGAATACATTTCGTAAAATATATATATTTTTAAATAAACAAACATATGCCTCGAGGAAAACTTATATAAAATTAAAAATGACAAATCGAATTGATAAGAAAATAGTGAGATGACTAGATGAAATAATATTTTAGAATTTTTCCACGAAAAATGTTTATTCTATGTAAATATTTGTATTCATATTATTATAGTAAAGTTTCATCGGAAAAAACAAATAAACAATATTAAAGTATTAAATCAAGTTCGAAAATTTAATAATATTATAATTCCAAATTATATGTTTTTTTGAATAATAAAAGTTTGAAGAATCAGACAAGAACGCGAGTTGACATTTTTGACATATAAGCATACGAGGGTTGAAAGATATCCATAAGCTTTTAAATATTCTATTTTATTCAGCTGTATAATATATTTTGAAAGTCTTTCTTTTTAAAAAAAAAACGGAAGAATAAATATTCTTTCAAAAGACAATGCAAAACAATATTTAAAAGGATTTTATACAGGAGTTTTTCAAGAAAATTGAGATTTTATTAACATTAAAATATTTTTAATTATGTCTTACAAGCAATTTTCGATAATCTGTATTAAAAACAATTGTTTAAGCGTTAATTAATTTAATTAATTCACATTGAAAATTAATTGTTGTTAACATTTTATGGTAAATTTATAAAAATTAAAAAATATGGTAACTCGTAAAGTTGTTGTATTTATCATCTTAAATAATAATAGTATTTTTGTTTTTAAATGTTGTAGGTACTCAAATTGAAAACTCATTTTTTTTCTATACGTAAAAGCCTATCTAACATGGTTTGTTATTTATATTTAAAAACTATAACCAAGTTTAATATTTAACTATATATTTTGGTTAGTCATAATTTGAATTAAATATTATAATCTAGTCCCAATTTATTATTTAATTTATAAAAATTTTTTAAAACATGATGTAGTTTAGACATTTTGAATATAAAAATATGCATGTTGTTTATAATAACTATTTTCATAATAAATGTTTAATTTTTAATTTTTTTCATTATTATTTAGAATTTATTACTGTCCCATAAGATTTCAACAGTTATTAATTATTCATGGTAATAACCATATTTAACGGTGATTAACAGTGAATAATATTATGGTCCAAAGAAATACAAATAAAAAAGATGAAGTATAATTTTCATGTGCACTTGTCATAAAAAAAAAAAATCGTTTTTAACGGAAATATAAAACGTATACAAATGTAATTCGATATAACAATGACTCTGAAGGAAATTAGAGAAATATTGACATAAAATTAAGTTTTTTCTTTACAAAAATCATAGACGACATATATTTCGAATTATTTTAATTACTGACTCATAGTATGCCATTTGCATCAAAAAAATTAATTCGATTAGGGTACAGTCTATTTGCGTCAAATTTAACTGGTATAATTATAATATAGTAATATATTTTTTTCTAAAATATTTTTTTCATTTTGAATTAATATTTTTGCTGAGCATATTTCATATGAACAACGCCACTGGTCAAAATGTTTAAAAAATGTATACGCCAATATATACATATACTTATTTTCTAAAACTTATTTTTTTCCTCTTATGCTTGTCTTGAACTCTATTCTTATAATTTATAATTCAAATGATACAAATTAATAAATTAGAGAAAATTATTAATATAACGTAACTATTTAACTAGACGAGTATATTTTGTTTAGTGTAGCGAAACAAATGTCATACTGCGATCGTGCTTTTGACGAACAACGATACCTATATCTGATAACGGAGTACCTACATAATAAAAATTGGTATAAAACTTGTTTTGCATTTTTCTACGCAATTATATACAAGGCTATAAAATCAATAGACTTATTAAAATAACTTTATATACGTTACAGATACGATGTCTTTAAAATATATAAATTAACCAAGTCGTTAATGTAAAATATTTACGTAGGTAAATTTGGTGCAAATGGACTATACCCAAAACGAATATATTTTTTTTTTAGCACAAACGGCTAACCCCCAAGATACGAATACATAGTTTGTTATTTTACCATTATACAGATGTTTCGATGGGATCCCACGGTTTGTCGGATATGGGAAAAAGACTCAAGATTCTAAAGTTCCAATGTTTAATCGGTTTTATTACACCCTGTTTTAATATTGTACTTTTCCTCGATCATCAACAACACTGGTCAACATTGAACAGAAAAAAAACGATAATTTAAGAACACACTGTACACCCGAAACTGTTCAGAAAAACGTACGTTAAGTAGTACGTTATACGGTCGACGATCGGAATATGGTTTGTATAAAAATGTAAACAATCGAGCGAATATAAATATTACAAGTGTTACCGATTCCGGCCTCGGAGCAATCGATGGTGAAATGATTAGGCTTGTTAGACTTGACGCCGGGCTCGATTCCGGGCCCGAATATCTGCACTTTGCTGGCGTCCAACGGCTGAGACACGAATACGCGGAACGGACTGTTGGGTACCGCGACTCCTCCGTAATTGACCTACATGAGACACATTGCACCATTACGTTTTCGTACACTGTACGCCACGAACATATTGTCTGTTATTGCGATCGTTCGGACCACCCTTTCCGTTTACCTGTAACGTGTGTTTGCCGGCCATTTTCGGAACATATTTGCAAGCGAACGTACCATCCTTGTTGTCTTTCAGCACCGGTTCTATGGTGTTACCGTTCGAGTCGAAAACCTGTGAGTGCAATAAAATAAAGCCGGTTTCAGTTGTACTTGATTACTTGATTAATTACTTGATTAATTGTACTACAGTTACAATTGTATTATTAACACATTTTGTATCGATTTTAAATACGTTTTATTGGTGAAAAATCAAATCTTGTAATTAAAGATACTATTTTGTTAATTGTAATTATCTACGAGAAATATATTTATAAATATTGTAACCGTAGTACGAGTATATATCGATAATCAATGCGTCTCGAGTTCGATATTAGGGGGGCTGTAATTACTTTTACGTCAAGCGGAGCGTTTCCAGCTTTTCTTGTGTCTGCAACGAATTCGGCCGGTTTTCCTTGTATAATTCCATTCGGTTGGAGTCCGTTGCCGTAACAATTCACCTACGCGATGTAAATGGTTCGTAATAATATAAAACGTGGTAATAACATTAACAACATTGTATGTGTTATATAAACGTATAGGAAAACGAACGGTGCCCAACAATAAGTACGTAGAATGTATTATTAAAGAACACTCCTTCTTGATAACAAGGAGAACAATTCAATTTAGTAAACAGGAAACGGTGAGAAAATAAAACGTTAATATTTATTTATAGTTTTTATTGATTGTGCGCTTCAGGCGGGAAATCGGCGAATGGTGCGTAGGTCAACGTAGCCAAACTAGTTGGAAGAGAAAATAACGGTTAAGTGTTTTGCGACGGGAAGTTGGATAAAAATGACATATCGTCAATCCACGTAAGTTGAACAATATCGATTAGGAATTTGGAGAATTCAACCTCAACCTCTTCATAGGAGGGTTGAACTCGCTCGTATATGGTTCGATCAGTAACTTTCTACATAAAACCTTATTTAAATGATGACGAACTGACGTATGCTACGATTTTTCCGGAAAAGAAGAACGTATAATACATACATACAAGAATGTATTATACATTTCCGGATCAGCGTAATGTGTTTACCTTGTCGGGATAGAAATCTGTACTGGGTACGACATTGGCCATGTAAGGTGACTTTGGTATGTCTTCGTTATTACACAGAATGTGCACGGCATATTCTCCGGGCGCCATGGGATAGTACCGGACGTCGGCCGAACCGTCTCCATTATCTTGGCAGTCGATTTTGGCTTTCGACGGACCTTCGATGCTGAATCCTGCAGGAAAAGAGAGACCGACATCGTAAGAAATTTAATATAATACTGCGTAATCACGCAATAATTTATGAGTTCTGGAAGGCTTGTTTCACGCACCCAGCGAACCGGTTTCTCCGTTCGTCTCGACTGTAAACATAGCAGGATGTGAAACCACTCCCCCGGTGAGACCGGGACCGTAAGCACGAATCAGGGTCTCCTTGAACGGAGCGACGTGAACTTCGAACGGAGCTTTTGGGATTTCTTGTCCGGCGAACGTTATCATGACCACGTGACGACCCACTTTCCTTGGATAATAGGTCACTTCATACGTGTTTGCATCGAGTTTTATCATCTTGACAGGTTCCTTCACTCCTCCTGTATCAAATAGAAATATAATATAGAACGCGTGTCGGAACAACACTATCCAATCTTAACATAGGCGTGCAAAGACCTATTTTTCAGGATATTCAAAAGACTACCACTTCCCCCGTCATTTTTCCGTTGAAAATTATTTTTATCTTTCAAAATTATAGTAAAAATATATACAAAAATGCCTAAATAACTGTTTATTTTAAAATACAACTCATCTTTGAGGAATTATATCTCGTCAATAGATAAACAGAAAATGAAAATTTAAACATGATAATTCATAAGAAAAAAAGCCTTACTAAATTATGACATTTTAAATATAGGTTGTCATTTGAAAATCAAAAGTTGATGGTGGTTTAAATAATAAATATAAGGGTAAAAAATATTATAAACCAATACATAATTCAAGAACAGCATAGTTTATTTTAAAAATTTAAGCTTTTCCTTAAAAGAAAGTAACTGAAGAGCCATTTCTTTAATATTATAACTGTCTTCATAATTAAAATTTAAAAAAAAAATTAATCTATAATACTTGAAATGGTTTGAGTAATATATTTAAATAATGTAAATAAACAAAAACATATATAAGTCATATATTTAAATAAGAAAACAAAATAAATTTTATAAATAATTATAATTTATCTGATAAATTCATAAATTCATAAAATCAAAAAGGGCGCCGTGAGTCGAAAAAGTTGGGAAGCACTGATTTATCATAACAAAATTCTGCGTTCAGTTGACGATTTGAAATCATGCATCGATTTATAAGTATAACAATTTTTTGCTCTGTAGTTAAAAACATCAAGCTATTTAATTTCTCTTAAATCATAGTATTCATTAATACATTAAATAGTTAGGTATTACATTGATATATAATTGTGTTTCAAAAATAAATAAAAATATAATAACTACGGTGTAATTAAAACAATTATTTTTTGATTTAACAATTTTTAAATTTAACAAAATCATATGAGTATAATCTCGAACAAAATAAATTTAAAGATCAAATATGTCACGCTATTTATTTATTATTGGGTATGAAACAGAAACAACGCACTGTGTTTGGGGTGTGCAGATCTGCATATATATGACATTATATATGACTGTATACCCCCCGCGAACGCCAATGAGTTCTAATATAGTCAAACAAATACAAAATAAAATACAATATGTATAATATTATAATTTTACCCGGTCCGATAATGTTCACATCAGGAACTCCTTCGCCCGCTCCTTCTGTAAATATTTTGAACTTTGCCTCGTCCTGAACTCTAACTCCATGTGGTTGCAGTCCTCGACCGAATGCTTTTACGCGTTTGGCATCAGATGCTGTACAGACATATAGACCCACCCCCGCGTGGGCAAATCGCATATATTATTAAATCAGTTTCAGTTAACACTACATATTATTAACAATAATGAAAACTGTCGTATTCCGTTACCGTTTGCAATACCGACAGCGAACGGGCTGAGGGGAACTGGCTGGTTTGCGAAGAAAACATTAACAGAATGCACTCCCTGTACGATCGGGGTATAGTCGCAGATGTACACTCCGTTGGGTTCTTTTCTGAGTTTTACCGGTATCGTGTTCTCCCGACCAGCCGGGTCGAGAATGATCACCTCCGGAACTCCTTTACCGGCGTCTAAAAACATGATCACGTTAATATACGACGTTTCCTCTGCAGTGCAGTTTACATCCTGTACATGCAACTTTATTCATACGTGAATTTACCTTTTGTGTGGATTTCAAAATAGGTTGGCTTGTTGACGAACACGCCTTCGGGCTGTATACCGGGTCCAAACACCTTGACTTTGTTCGGATCGCCAGCCGATGCGTCCACGTTGACGTGGTACGGAGATTTCGGAGTCGGTACGCCGGAAAAGTTTACATGCACCTTGTGCGGTCCTTCGATGATCGGCTTGTAAGAAGCTGTGTATGTTTGACTTCGATCGTTGTTGAAAACAAGATCGACCTGAAACAGAAAAAGAAGAAAAAAAATAACCATTTGCAGTTAAAATGCATAAGAATTCATCGTGCTCGTTAGTATTTCATAGTGTTGATCACTTCATTTACCGGTTCGGGTTTTCCTTTGGGATTTTCAACGGAGACGTTAACCGTTCCTTTGCCAGCAGAAAACGTTTCGACTGTGAAATTGGTTTTAGCTCCCACTGACGGTCCGGAAGGTTCGATACCAGGACCATAAACTCGAACTCTACACAATCGTTTGAAAAACATGCGAATTATTGTCATAATAATATAAATAACGTATCGAATATCGATACGGGATCGAGAGCGGAACGTACCGGCTGGGGTTAGTTTTCGGTCTGACGGGCGCTCCTTGTTTCAATTTAGCGTTCGGATATTGAGACAGGTATGTCATCATGGACTGTTCGTCCATGTTGGGACTGACCAATTCTTCCGGTTTGATGAGCTGCAAATATGTAATAGTGATAAGTATTTCTGCCGTATTATTACTGCAGCGCACGGGGCAGACCGTCGGCAAAAGGTGTGTACGATAGGCAACCGAATACACGCCTAAATAAACGTATTGCCTGGCTCAACAATCGATACATGTCTCGGCGGTCGCCTATCGTATACATTTTCCGTCGACGCCCGTCATTCCACCCCGTGAGCGTACATAACGCCGTGTGCGAATGTCAACAGGCATCAGCAACACAGACGCAATGCCTGAGTACGAATTATTTTGATTACCTGTTTAACGTTGAGCCAATCGTCGGCTAAACCCATTGCTTCCTTCGCGTTCTGAAGCGCGTTGTTCGATTTCCAGTCCGGCCAGTCCGGACACAAGCCTGTACGCGGGCAGGGCAGAAATAAACCGAAATCATTATTAAAGAACGAGTTCCGCGGCGGGCGTACGATGTAATCGGTCTTGCGACACACGATAACGGTATCTACTTACCCGGAGCCACAGCGTCGACCAGGGCGCCAACAGCTTTTCCGTCGTTCCAGTCGGTGGTGAAATTGGAAATCGGTATATCCGGCACTTTGGTCTGGATCCAGTTCAACAATCTACAAACAAAAGATATGACTTGAATGCCGTACAGCGTATCGTTATTGTTATAAAAAATAAAAATAAAAAATCGAACTCCGGTGATCCGTAATCGGACTGGACACGAAAATATCATTACATCGGACCCGATTAAATCGTATCATCTTATACACACGCACACCCATATGTATAAATATTTACACGGAAAACGCATTAAATCGGTTATAATATAATATTATCTACATTACACGATCGGTTGGGTATCCATTATTTGTTTTGTACGTGATTTGACGTTGAACAATGTAAGAGGCGTGCACGGAAAATGAATAACGTTTCGGCGCAGGTACAACCGTACGAGACAACAATACGATGAGGGTTAGTCTCTTCGCCTCTGTTATCAGATAAACCGATGACTACCCCCCCCGACGATGCCGTCAGCTTTGTCCATCAGCCTCGCCCACCGACCACTACTTGACGTTCCCCGTGGATTATGTGATACGCGTACACCTATGTCGCCCGGTTGAATATTTAAGAACGTACGACGTTTACATATATCCGTTTCACATTTCGGGTGAAGTCGACAAACCGGCAGTGTTGATCTAACGCAGTGCATTTTTTATTGTGCCTGTGGTGTGTCCCGTACGGATACAGCCTACGCCCATTTTCGGGAAAAATTGTCCCCGCGGTTAAAGTATTATACTGATTGTGGTATAAACCGTATTTTATCGGAAATGTTTGCGGTTCTTCTTTTTACATTTTTTCGTTACGTATAAGAACAAAATTGAAAACTAATACACGAAAAAATCATAGGTTTATATCATCATTAGGTTATAAATTATAAGTTATAATTATTTTGCAACAAAAAATAATGGTTCGTAGGTTTCGTGATAAGTCGTAACACTTCGATTTTTCTTAATCTGTTTTAAAGTTTGTTTCAGCGGTTTATAGGACCATATCAACTATTTCAATTTTCTTTTTTTTTGAACGCTGCTTTTTAATACCACGAATTTAAAATCTGATAGTTGCTTTAAAATTTAAAGACTACGACTAACGAGACCCACCCTACTTCTGTACTTTTTCACGCAACCGAATATTTCTTTTCGTACGTAAATGATTCGTAGTCTTACCTTTGTTTTGGTGTCGGTCCTTTTTCGTTTGGTATTTGCTCGCCACCAAATTCGCCGTCCCACATCGGCATTGATATCGAGTAGTGCAAAATCAACGTCCATATTAATCCCAAAATTAATTTCAACTTGCAATCAACGATATCCGATGAATCTGTAAGATATTGATAAAATAACATTTTGAAACTGAATATTTTCATTAAAATTTGTTTACACAGGTAATGTCACCAAAATTAAAAGCTTTTTAACAATCTAAGGATTATAATAGATTCAATATTATTGTCAACATTTTTAGTTTTTCCGTCTATATTTTGCTTAAACTTAAACTATTAAAGTATAATAAAACACAAGATATCGCATGATAATATGGTTTTTTTAATATTATCGTATAAATACATCCACATTTGGTTATTCCGCGAACACGGTACACACCACCGCGTGGGTATAAAAAATCGAGATCGCATTATTCTGCGAGCAATTTATGAACAGTCCATCATCGTGTTCTAGATGTACGTTTACGTCGATATAATATTATAATAACCACCATTAATCGATGGTGACATTTCAACAACTTATATTAGATATAGGAACGCATTATCGTCGCGTTATCAGGCAAATCCTAAAAACGTAATATTTTAAATATTCACGAATCACTTTGAATCAAATCCATTTAATATCGTAAACTTTATTTATATCTAGTATGTTGTATTTCTATAAAACTACACGACAGTCAATCGGTTATACATTGGCTAGTAATGCTATGATAACTTATTATAATTTAATCAATACTTAAAGATTTGGTTAAATAACTTGAATTTTAAATTACTTCACTATAAGTTAATAAATATACTACTAATATAATAATTTAAATATCATACAACATAATCTTTGATATTGATTATGAAAACTGAAATTAAAAAAAGTTTATTGAACCATTTAAATTTTTAATTAAAAATAAATTAAAATAATCCTAAAAATTGTTTATGCAGGTAAAATAGAAGAAAAATTGAACATTTGGGATTTAAAAATAGATTATACTTAATCTGAATAATAATGGTCATTTGATAACAAAGTAATATAATCATTGACATTTCATCCGGGAGCGCCAACATTCCCAACGTTTTTTTTATAATATTATATTATTTTAACAACATATTTGGTTGAAAAAAACGAATATCATCGAAATAATTATACGCTTCTACATACGTGTATTCATAATACACGGTTATCATGGGTTCGATTCGAATAATAAAAAATAAAAACAGCCCACGGGGTTGTTAGAAACTGAATCGCGTTCCCTGACTAATCGGATGTCGCTACACCTCGTGTGGTCTTAAGAAGTCGTTAAAGTAGGCACGAACACAAATTTTTATTTGAACAAGAAAGTATTCACAACACTTTTCTGTATAATAGGTACATAAATAAAAAATAAAAAATAAATTTTTAAATTCCTATTCGATTATTATTAATTTCAAATCATAACCAAAACCAATAAAAATTACTTTACTTTTATCGATTAAATTAACCAATATTTAATTATTATAACACAAATAATAAATGTTTTGATTTCACGTGACACTCATAGTGTTTTGTCGAATTGACCTTTAGGTAAACACGTAAAGAATATTGTTATGCATGATATATTATATATATTATGTGCGCGACATTTTTAAACTTACATATTTATTTTTTTTATACATATTTCACGGTACAAACAAAAATCAGTTGACATTCGATTTTGTTCTTTTATAAGATAAAATGAAAAATTGCTCAACAATTGTTTGGTTTTCAAATATGTTGAGTATTCAATAATCGTTCAAAATTAATTATTTATTTTAATAGAAATAGTGCATATAATATAATGTGTACACAGAAACGTTATAACAGACAAACGGATATATACTCGGTGCACAGTAACATAGCAAGATAATCAGTGATATAAATGTTTAAAATCTTTCAACGAAAATCAAATGTTTTGAATTTTATTAATTTTTTGAAACATTCACGCATCATTAAGTTAAATGTTATCGATGCACTTATCTAAGACTTTCTTGAATATAACATTACAAAACGTTATAGCATGTTTTTTATAAAAACGCTAAACTTATCAATTAATATAATTTTAATGGTTGGATTTCTTTTTTCGATTTCTTTAAGACCCTAATTTTCAGTGAATTGCACATATTCTTAGACTAATCGTATGGTAATTTAATTTAAGGTAATAGTTATTTAATAAAATGTAACTAATTGGGTTGATATGCGTTAAACGTTTAAAGTATTGACCAAATAAATTGAAATTCGACTTTGTTCGCTTACAATATACTTATAACTTATGATTTAAATTACAAGTTTGTATTTAGTTACTTCTAAATATGATCTATGAATACAACTAATAGACTTTAAATTATATAAAAATATCTATCATATAACATTTGTTTGATATTCGAATTCGTCGGAAATTTAAACATAACCGGTATGCACACCAATAAAGGATTTATGGGTGCGGGGGTGGCGTGACGATCTCCTTCCACACGTGGGATTTTTTTTTATCATAGATTTATTTAATATTGTTGATATAGGTATACATAATAGTCAAACAGATAAATTTAATAAATATTTATAGATATTTACTATCGAATATTATGTATATCTTTATATAGGTAGTATATTTGATGATAATTAATAATAATACTTATAATATACAATATAATAATAGTAATAATATAGCCATTTGCTCTTTCCCCCCCCCCCCCTTAAACAAGTTTTATATCCGTCCCAAATGCATACGCCGTATGTATGTACTCGAAAACTTTTCGATCAACGAGCATACATCTCTAGATAACCTTTCTAACACGGTAACATTATGCGATATCCGAACGATATCATCGTACGTGTGTGTATTATTGACACAAATAAAATTATCATCCGATGCGTTCACCATAGCCGTTCGAATCGCGTTTTAAATCGCGCTTAAATCACGTGCGGATGAAGACCACCATAGTTCGGTGTATGTGTATGTTTGTGGGTATGGTAAATATGAATAATGTAATATTATTGTTGTCGTTGTAATTAAAACGCCCCACAAACTATATGTATATAAATGAAACAATACAGGAACGACGCGACACAGGGCAGGATGACAACGACGGTTTAAGCGCGTAAAAAAATAGAAATAACCGAACCACCACCGATACCGCACGCTAAAGAGAATCCGAGGCTCTGGTATCTGAAGCATAAAGCGTGACGCGAGTACCAGTATGTGATCTATGTACGACCGTGTATCGTGTATATATTATAATACTACATATATAGGTAACCGTGTTAACAGTGAAAAACAACGAAACCGTACGTGTGCGTGCGCCGATAAAATCCATCCACGTTTGTATATCATATTATTTCGTTGCCAACGAGGAAAATCTCCTGAGCAGAAAATTGGCAAAATGAGCTTTGCATATTCCGGGATATAGAAAATAATTGCTATGATATTAATGAAAAAAAAAAAATCACCTTTGTGCCTATATTCCTTGTACTTTGACTAATAAAATATAAAATATCTTAATAGCAAATTATCGTATGTGTTTATGGTCTGTTTTTAAATGTTGTTTTTTTTTAATTACCTCCTATGCGTGATCAAATATGATCGGAATTCACATTACAAGTAATTTTGTGCGTGTACACTCAGTGTCGTATAAATGATAAAATTTAATTATTTCTATTTTGTACATAATAATGAACCGTGGTCATTATTAGAATATTAGTCATTGTGTTGTTTGAAGTATTTTTTCTATTATGTGTATAATAGATAATTTGATTTTCAAAATATCTTATTTTATTTTTTCTTAAAAACCTATAACATCTTAATAATACATACAACATGATAGAACTTTTTTATCACCAATTTAATTCCACGAACACTTGATGAGTGTTTTCTAATTTGATAGAATAAAGGTTGAAATAAGGTTAATTTAAAAATTAGTTTTTTTTTCCTGTATTGAAAAATTTAGTTCTTGCACATAGATTTATTCCCATCAACGACGATTGCATTATACTATAAACAATGCACATGTGATATCTGTAAGATATATAACATAAACAAAGAAAATATAAGGAGATATTAATAATTTTCTAATCGATATTATGTTACACGCAGAAGAGATACTATTTCTCAAGATCACAAATTCTTGCTCAAATCAGTGCCGTTCCTAGGTTCTGCGAGGCTCTGGGCATCATTAGAATTCGAGGCCCTACAATATTATATCAAAATTCATAAGTACACCAGAATAGCGGTCCCCAATCCATATATCTATAATCTATTTATACATGGTATGTTTTACATATATATATATATATATATATATATTATTGTATAAACGCGAGGCCCTTGGAGGCACGAGGCTCTGGGCGAGTGCCCCGTTTGTTTTGCCCTCGGGACGGCCCTAGCTCAAATCACATGTTCACAGCATATAAGCACACACTTTATTTAATATGCCAAAACAATGAAAGTACTATTATATGATATTTTATTGAATTATTCCAGAAATATTATATTTTAATTCATTTCAGATAGGACATATTGTAGAAAAGGCGATATATTCATCTTGTCATGTTTGAAAAGTTAGATCAACGAGTGAATCACTACAAACTTTACCAGCGTAGGTATGTGACCATATTTAAATAAATCAGTTTTACCTTTATTAATTTAAATTTTTAAATTTAAAACGTGAACTGTGCACGCCGAAAACAAAGTATGGTTTGTAAGCGAGAAAAATATTATTTTATTAAAATTATAAAATACAACGCGTTTTATTAATGATTGTGGAGTTAAGTTTTTTTTTAATTATACGCTCTAAAATCATATTTAAGGAAAGATCGGGTATAAAAAAAATTGTGTATCAACTACACCCGAACGAGGACACCGCAGCAAGGTTCCTTATCGTTTATAAACTCCCACGAACGAGGTAAGGTGGAAAGGATTCCATGGTCAAAATAGATCATATGTACAAATAAAAAAGATTTTCTAACAAAAATTTGAATTAAAAATATGTACACACACGCGCAAACAACGATATTAGGTGTAGTAATGGGAAAATTTGTATCATATATACTTGGTTGCGACTAAGTTATATTTTTAATGTGTATTATGTAAATTCCAAA